GTTCCGATTGGTTGCCGCCAGATGCCGCCGAACCGCGTCATAGCTCATTACCATAAAGTTGACCTGATTTCAACTCGCCTCGATGCCCTCAACGTCCAAGTCGCGCCGCGCCGCTGCTCGACGCCGGCTCACATTGAAAATGAATGACTTCCTGCCACTTTGACACTCTCGACGGCGGCGGTGTGAACGCACGGTAACGGTTCATTTTTGGAGCTGAGCTGAGAGAGAGAGAGAGATGCAGAGCAGAGGACACGAGGAACAGTATTAAGAACCGCTGCTTTAGAACATTGATTTTGAAACTTGTGAATCCATTAGAATCGTTAGAAGACAGAATCGTGATTCATATATGAATAGATTTTTATGTGCACCTCTAGTTTTCTCTTCCTCTTCTCTAAAGCAGCGCAGGCCTCGCCCCCTTTGCTGCCTTTTCCCGAGGGTGGGGTTTATCTGGGTTTGTGATGTCACGAACCCGGGAAGTAACTTGTTGTAGTCCCTACCAGCCGTTTTTGTAGGCATTAAACTGCCAGAATTTTAAAAGACGATATCTCCGTTTGCATTGATCTTTCAGCTTCGTAACTTTGCAGATATTGTTTATGCTCAAACAGCAACATTACACATTAACTAACGTTAAAAAAGTGAAATCGCAATGAACCACCCCTTTAATATAACTCCGACTGGATTTGTCTGAAAGAAGAAAGTCATATACATGTCATATACAAGTCATCATAGGATGACTTGAGGGTGAGTAATTTATGGGCTAATTTTCATTTTTGGGTGAACTAACCCTTTAATAGTGAGAATTGGTCCCTAAAGTAAAGTCTTACCAAATTCTTTTATAATCTATTATCATTCCAAACTTGTATTTTTTCTTCTTCTGTGGAACACAAAAGGACTGTTACAGCTGTTATTGTCCTGTGAAACTAAATGGAGTCTTAACCATTTCAAGCTCCAAAAACGGTGTAAAGGTAGCATAAAACTACTACATACAGCCGAGGGGAACTGTCAGGGCCCTCTAGGCCCTCAGAGAGGGCCTAAAAAACAATATTTACAATTTTTTTAATAAATTCTTTAAAATTATAAGCTTTTAATTATTAATAAAAAATCATAATTTCTGTTTTTATTGAATTCATCATTTGGCAATCATCTAAATAAAATAAATACCATTTCTGTGGAAATAAACTCTTCAGATCTGCCTATTCAGTGAATAGGTTAAATGAACGACACCAATTTTCTCCATATTTGAATGTTTCTGCCTAGCATTTGCGGGTCTGTGATTGGTGGTCCAGCTCTGAAATTACAGAGGGCCAAGCAATAGTAAATCAATGGGAGCGTAATTTCAAGTGACAGAAAAACTGACCAATCATATCTTTCCTCTAAATGGGTCGGCCTTGTTATCACTAACTTTATGACAAGTTCCGCCCGCTGTGGGGATCTCTCGGAAAAAAAAATATATAGCTAACTAACTAGCTATTATTCACGTCACGATGAAAGCCGCAAATAACATAAGAGGACATTTACTGGGCCGCTGTGCCAAAAATATGATTATTTAATGCTTAATATGCTCAAATTTAATAACACTGCTTGTTCGTCATGAAGTGTCTGTTGTTAATTTGTTTTGCTGTGAGCGCTGTCATGATTTATTGGCTTATATTAAACATTACAATTGTTGGTTTTGTGCGCAGGCCAATTGTGTGATGATACATTTGTAATAAGGATTTTTATTTGACTTAAATTTAACTGTTTTATTTTGTTGATATCAGTCACTCTCGCTGCACTGTTTTCTAGTTGCATTTCTGAAAGAGAAGCGCAGCGCTGTGCTACGTCTCTAGAGCAACTCACGTGTCACACACAGGACGCTTCGCATTTAGTTTAAGGTGGCAGTCCAAAACCTTTCATCTATTCTCCAAACAGTTCACTTCAGGAATGAGCAAGTGGTGTCAAAGAGTTTGAAGTTCGGTGATTGCAAAAACAGAGAAAGCAGAATGTTGTATGAAGCACGGGCCTTATTGGTACCACAAAAAGACAAACGTGTCACTGAAAAATGCTCAATACACAATCTTCCAGCCTAGGATGAAGTCACTACATACATTAACAATAATTTAGGACAAATATATTGTAATTTAATGGAAAACTATGTGAGTGGCACTCTCTGGCACGGCAGGATTTTGAACTGCACCCAGAGTCACCGGTGTGCCTACACTCAGTGCTTAATTAAAGCCAGATCCTGTTCCGGAAAATGTCCGATTTTGAATTTTTGAGTTCCGGTATTTGTTTTAAAGGATCCGGCATTAACAAGTGCATTAGATCGTGACAGTGAGTGCGTCCAAACGAGACCGAGCGAGCGCGGGTTTATGTAGATGTATTTGGAGGTTATGTATTGGTCCTAAACACATTTTTGACCAAGTTCTTAAGTTCAAAAAATCGCTCTTATTGATTGATGCTTACTGCTTAACCCACTCTCTCCAAACATTCCGCTGCTCACAAAACAATAGACTAGTGTTTTCACGTTACGTCATCAATCTGGAAGTCTTTGTGACGTCACTGAACGTGAACAATGCCATTGAACCGAATGTATCTTGTGTATGGGCTTAGCAAAAAAAGTAGTGTCAGTTCACGACAAATGAGTAATATCTTACGGATATCTACCACCAATTACAGGGCTTGACAATATGGACTGCCTCATTGGGCCAGCGTGAAAGACGCTTGGGACAGTTGACGAGTTTGTCATGCCACTGCTGTATCATCACAAAATTTATAATTTTCACCCGTTTCTAAGCCTTGCTAATTTGATAATTCAAGCGATTTTAAAGCATTCAAGCAAGACGTGAAAGACAGCTATATTTGTGTGGAAATATTACGAAGTGTGTAAACGGCTGTTAACGAAGGCCAGAGACACTCTGAAGGCAGACACAAAGAGGAAAAAATACTGTAGCAGGCAGAGCAGGATCACTGTTCACGATGCACAAAATATTGAAAGAAAATCCTAATTTGGGGGTAAGGTTTTATATGAATGGTTCTCTGAGGGGTACGGTCTGTTTTCAGAAAGGTTTTCATGGCATTTTCTTTTCATCTTGCCTCTGTATATAATGCATTAAAAAGCAGTTGTTAATAAGCGTAGCAGTTACCAAAGGAAACACTAGCGTTGCTGTTCCATAAGCTCCGCTTGCTGAATCATTCAGTCCCGTCTGCTGTTTGTCCTTTAACACCTTCATTTTATTTGCAACTTTGTTCTGTTTATTCAATTGCAACATTTCTTGCTGGATGAAGGACCATCACCTTCAACTCAACCTTGCAGAACTGATTGTGGTTCCATCAAACCCATCGTTTCATCACAGTTTCACCATCCAGTTAGGCACATCAACCATAACTCCTTCAAAAACAGCTAGAAACCTTGGAGTTATGATTGATGAAAAAGAATGCATGTCACACCTCTGTTTATCAATTTGCACTGGCTACCAATAGCTGCTCGCATAAAATTCAAGGCAATAATGTTTGCCTACAAAAACTACCACTGGCTCTGCACCCCTTTACCTAAGTTCATTACTTTAGACTTATGTGCCCTCTAGAAGCTTGCGTTCTGCAAGTGAACATCGCTTTATTGTGCCATCCAGTGGTTGAAGTGGGCCGGTACGCAGCCTTTAGAGTACCTGCAGTAAAAGCGTCAGGGTCTGGGTGATTATATGATCCCATAATATGATTAGAAAGGACACTATATAAATCACACTACCCAGGCGGGATCACCTCTCATCTCGACCAATCACATGAATGAATGCAAGTGGAGTGTGTGTGTGTGGGGCACGAGAGCATGTCAGGGGAGGCGCGCAGAGTATTAAAATAATAATTAATTATTGATTACTAATTTGAATCAGTACTTTATAACGAAAATAATATCTTAAAATGAAAAGAAGCAGGCTTTTGCGATCTCATCATTTTAAACCGGTAAACTCCTGGAAAGTCCAAGGATCCAGTAAACGAATTCAAACAGTTAGTTCAAAACAGCGCTAATGCAGAGAAAACGCAGCCGATTTCATCAGCGATTGCGGAGAGAATGGTGACTTGCATCCAGATGTCAGTAAAATTATTCTTTTCAGCGTGTATTCGGCTTAAAAGCAAGAGTGTTTTATTATGAACGCTTATTATGCGGTGGTCAGAGATTTAGCGATTCTGAATGGATCCATGTAGTAGTAAAGGCAGGCAATTTAGTGGTCTTTAATGCTAATTTGTATTGAAAACTTTTATTTAATTATTGATTGATTGATTGTGGTACTATACATACATTGTGAAATATTAAAAAGTACTTATTTATTTAATATAAATCATTAAATAAATAAATTGGAGGGGGGGTGAGTACCGGCACTTTTTTTTCCACTTCAAGCACTGGTGCCATCCCAAAGATGCTCAAAATCTCTTTCACGTACTTTTAAATTAAATGTTCCCTCCTGGTGGAATGACCTGCCAAACTCAGTACAAGCAGCTGAGTCCTTAGCCATCTTCAAGAATCGGCTAAAAACACAGCTCTTCCATCTTTATTTGACTCTCTAACTCTAGCACTCTCTGTTCTAATTCTATTCTTTAAAAAAAAAAAACTAACACTAGCTTTTCTAATCTTTTTACATTCTATTTGTTTTCTTTTTATTTATTAAACAATTAACAAAAGCAAAAAAGGCCTCTAACACTAGCTTGCTCTATTCTTTTTCTATTCCATCTATTTTCTTTTTATTTATTATATAATTGAAAAAAAACCTTGCATGTTTTGCGCAGCTTGTCGCTGAACAACGGCTCTGTGTAGTTAATGCTGCTCAATGTGAAAGCCCGCACGTGATGGAGATTTACCACTGATTACAGAATGGCTTTACTGACAAGATGCGCGTTAAATATCGCATATGATTTATCGTGCAGCCCTAGTTCACACCCCTACTTGCTACGTGTACTGCGTTAAGCTAACTGACTGCGTTAAGCTAACTGAGACTTGTTATAGCACTTGCATATCATTGCTCCTTTGTTGATTTTGATTGCTTCCATTGTCCTCATTTGTAAGTCGCTTTGGATAAAAGCATCTGCTAAATGACTAAATGTAAATGTAAATTGTGCTATTGCTTGTAATTTGTTCATTTGTTCTTATTTACTGATTGATAAATTGCCTTTAATAATGTTTGAAATTTATATTTGTTAGGCCAGACGTTTTTGCTGTGGTAACGAAATGTGACCCTGGAGCACAAAACCAATCATAAGTAGCACAGGTATATTTGTAGCAATATAGCCAACAATACATTGTGTGGGTCAAAATTATCGATTTTCCTTATGCTTATTTATTCAGTTTTCAGATGATGTATAAATCTCAATTTCAAAAAAATTGACCCTTATGACTGGTTTTGTGGTCCAGGGTAACAAATGAGAATTGTAAAATGTATTTGTTATCTAGAATTTTGGTGTCATATAAGTTTATTTATTAGAATAAAAGATAACATGGGTCAAAAATAATGATAACGGCATCTATTTTATTTTCTTGTGGGAGGGCCAGTGAAAATATTTGTAGGGCAAGTAGTAGAAAAAAATAGCCTTAGCGTTTATCCCTGTATTAACTTTAGTTTGTCAAAATAGCACACCCTTTCCTGCTTAAGTCCTTCTCTAAATAATTTCGCAGCTTCCACACATTTTTTCTTTGGTTTAGATATAATAAATTAGTAGAACAACATCTTCAGTAGTATAATAACTGTGCAATCCATGCTGTTGTTTACATCCGAGTATCTCCAATATGGCCATGCATCCAGGTAACTGACCAAACCATGACGTTTGGAGAGAGTATTTTAATAATACAAGAAATACCAGAAATAATACCAAATAAAGTGAAATATTATAATGTATAAACATAGCTATACGCGAGTTCCCCTCACTCCAAAAAAATCATTTAAATGTAATGGTATTTAGAACAGAACAATGAACAGAACAGAACAACAGAACAGAATGAAAAAAAATATAAAGCTAAAGAAACCAAAACAAAGCGAAACTGAAAGAACCAGGCATTGGGCTCACGTACCTCTCTCATTCGGCACAAAATGTTTCCAATATTCACAATGTATTTGAATGATAGACAATTATTTATTATGTACCTGACGAGGGTAGGGGGAGAGGGCCTAGGTTCAAGAGTCACGGTTTCCCTACTGACGTACATCTCCCTGTTCTTTGAAGAGATACTATCACTTTGTATGGTCAGCTCGTGTATTCAAAGTCAAAATCAAATGTAAGAACCAGTCAATAACATTTAAAAATGTGTATGGATTAATGTTACACTACCCTTATTGTCTTTTTGCAGCTTGAAACTGTTACACCCCGTTGACTTTTATAATTGTTTCAACTGTTTTTGTCCAGACATTGTTAAAACATCTAGTTTTGTGTTCAAAAATTACATGTGTCGGCTGTTATCAAATGCTGACAGACTTTTCTTTTTTGGTGGGAACCATTGGTCTACCTTAAATGAATTATAACAGTTATTTATATTATATATTTCAGCTGGTGATTATTCATGATTTGCATTTCCACAATGTCTTGTGTTTAGGTGTGTCATTGGCAGGAAAAAGGGCTGTGGTAATTGGCCGCAGTAAGATTGTTGGTGCACCAATGCATGACCTTCTGCTTTGGAATCATGCAACTGTACTGACCTGTCATTCAAAGACTGCAGACTTGGCCTCTGAGGTACAGAGTTTTCAAGCATTGTTTACACAAATTTTCTGCAAATATGTAAACTTGAAGGGAAAAAGTTATTTTAGCTAATCAAAAATCGCAAATTCAATATGTAAACACTCTGTCCACATTTTAGAATACTAAATATGAAAATGAGTAAATAACATTAACTGTCAGATAGTTGTTGTTTGTGACTATAATTTATTATTATTTTTTATTGTCTACAAAAAAATTACGAAGCCTAAACCGTAAGGCTTAGAGACATGAAACTTGGTGAGATGGTGCTACTGATGCTTGCTACTCAGTGGCTGATAGGGAGTGCTACAAAAAAAAAATTGTTGTGGACTGTACTGTATTTGTGTCAGGGCTTGAAAATGAAAAATAATTCAATCGGTTCACTCCGAGCAAAATCGATATTTTAACGTTTCTGTTCCTGCGTTCCTCTGTATTTTTACTGTTCCGAAACCAGTTCGAGAAGAAGAAATACCGGTTAATAACGTTATTTTTTTAAAAACAATTTTCTATATCAGCACAGTGAGGCGGTGGTCACGCTGAATGCAACAGATTGTACAACGGAGCAGTGTAACTTTTTATACGTTTCTTTAATTCATTTCTTACATTTCTGTATTTTATTTTGATAATGAACAGGCTGCAAAAAAGGTCTGTGTGAGGCGCCGGCGCGATATGGTCATACAAGCAAGACATCATTCAAAACTTTTGCAAAATAAACTTTAAAATAAATAAAACTGTAAAGCTTTTGTAAAAGTACTTTCTGCCGTCTAGTTTTCCTTTCCGAGAACTTTGGATCGCGTCAATGAACCGAAACTCAGCATATTTTTTTCTTTTGTTTTGTTAATCTGTCAATGATTTAAGTGAAATATATTTCGTGTATATGCCTATATGTTACTTTTTATGTAAGCCTATCATTTTTTTCTGTTTTCTCCGTTCACAGAAGCACTGCAGGTGCGTGTGATCTGTTGAATCCATCTTACACTATCCTCGGATAAACTCTAACGCCGGTGCATTGCCATTGCGACTTGCCTATGATGAGTTCACAGCTGAGCGCGGGCGGGCATTTCACTCGCTGGATGCGTCAGCTCACATTTGCAGGCCATAGCCTACTACTTGAATTCCTGATTGGTTGACAGCAAATTTCAAATATTAAATGGAACGATAAAATAACGTTATTAACCGGTTAATGGCCATTTAAAATGTTCGATTCTGTTCGGAACTATAAAATTTGATTTAGTTTCTGTTTCTGGTTCTGTTCCTGTCAAAATTTCATTCGTTTCCGGTTCAGAGCCCTGATTTGTGTTGTAGGTGGGAAAGGCAGACATATTGGTGACTGGGATTGGTAAACCAGAGATGGTTCGTGGAGAGTGGCTGAAGGATGGTGCCATTGTCATTGACTGTGGTATTAACACCATCACAGGTATGTAGGTTGTAACAGATGCACTTTAAATGTAGTTTTTCAGTAGGAGTATATACCATGTTTTCAACTTAATTTACAAAGATATAATTTTTTCGGTTAGATGTTTCCTGCTTTTCCTGCAATTGGTCTTAATCTAATTAGTGATGTCAGGTTTCAGGAATATTAAGGAAGGAATATTAATATTAATTTTCTTAAAAATTAATAATCAATGAATCGTTTAAACATTTTATGTTAATACTGCATAATGCATGTGGAGAACGAATACAAGGCTTTCGGTATGGTATACACAATGATATAAAGGATTAAATAGCATAAAAATAAAAGCTTTAAAAAAAAAAGTGCACGTGTGCTACATTGCTTTGCTATTACATTTTAATTTTGTTATAAATGAACATAACATCATATGAAAGATATTGTACAACTTACTAAAATGTGAACTTACTGAAAAAAAATGCATGTAATCGTACAAAATGCCTAAAAGTTGATTTAAAATCTTAAGAGGGCATTTTCTCAAAAACAACCACCTTTTAAATATCTTGGATATCTTGACAACTGTTTAAAATAGTAACATGATGATATAAATAGAAAGCATATATTTTCATTTAATGCATAGAACTATGCGTATCCTCTACATGGCACACCATGTCAAGCAGCAGGCTTCCAACCTAAGACTAGAAACATAATTTATGCAAGCACAGATTGAACTTAATTGATCTCATGTCTGTCTGGTGGAAACAAACCTCAATATTCAAGGGGCCAATAGGGTTACATCTAGATGTCTCTGACGTTACACCAGACAATTTGTTATTCAGGCAAGTTGCTGTGAACATGTGGAATAAACACAATGTGCTTAAGCTAACAAGAGACAAAAACAATTATAGTCTTTCAAGATTTGCTGCACAATCAATTATGATCGTTCACTCTTACTCAATGCCCCGCGCTTTCCCATAATTTCTTTTGTATTTTATCTAAACATTTTAATTCCATCAAATCAGCATAGTGCTTAAACGACAACGCTTGGCACCAAAGCTAAAACTAGAAATGTCAAGACTGGAATACTACTACAAAAAGGAACATTTTTGTCTAACAAGACTCCCACTGCCAGCAGTTTACATTCCTGAGACAGGAAAACAGTAGTAATGTTAACACTTTAATAAAGGGACCAATTCTCACTATTAACTAGTTGCTTATTAGCATGCATATTACTAGTATATTGGCTATTTATTAGTACTTGTAAAGCACACATTCTGCATCCTACCCAATACCTAAATGTAATAACTACCTTACTAAACAGTGATTAGGAGTTTGAGGCAAAAGTTGTAGTTAATAGTTAATTAATAGCTAGAATTGAACCTTAAAATAAAGTGTGACCGTAGTAATAATAAGTACTAATAAACCGCCAATATTCCAGTAATATGCATGCTAATAAGCAACTAGTAAATAGTGAGAATTGGTCCCTAAACTAAAGTGTTACCCTATTTTCTTGTTAAAAAATGTTTCTGTAAATCACTTTAAATTACCACTGTGTATGAAATGTGCTATGTAAATAAACTTGCCTTGCCTTGGCATGTCATGTCTTTATTGAACACATCTCATTAAACATTCACAGTGTTGTCATTACCTGTCTGGATGATCCACAACTGTTTTATCATTTTGTGATGAGTTTAATGATTAAGTTATTCATCAGTCCCTTGTTTGTCTTGAGCAGTTAATCTGTTCACTGTTCTTTAGAGAAATCCTCTAGGTCCAGCACATTCTTTGGTTTCCCAGCATGTTCTTCATATTTTGAAACCTTTAAAACAGATGTTTTATGGAATGTGTTCAATAAAGACATGAAGTATTATAAGTCATATAGATTTCAGACTTGGAAGGATTGTCTGAAATGTGCACTAGTAACTCAGGTGAACCTGTAAAATCCATTGTCCAGAAACATAGTCATTCAGTCACTTAAATTTTATCTCAGACAGCAGCAGGCCAAGTGGCAAGAGAATTGTTGGAGACGTTCACTATGACTCTGCTAAAGATAAGGCTGCATTTATTACACCTGTACCTGGAGGAGTCGGTCCAATGACTGTAGCCATGCTCATGCAGGTACATTATTCCTGTTTATAATGGAAGTGACGCTTGTTATTGTTGTTGTTGTTTTTTGTAATGTTTACTTTTTATGCTTGATTCATTTTTTCCCCCTTTAATTTACATTTTACGCTGTACCTAGCATGTCTTAGCCAGCACATATATTTATATTTACTAAACTAAATTCTGATGAAGGCCAGAGGAAATTGACTTACCCTAAAATGTTTCTCAACATCAGCATTTGAAATTAAGGAAAATGTGTGGGAAAGTCTTGATAAATGGATTATGACATGCATTTATTGTGAAAATAATTATTTATTGTTTTATTAATACAGTACATTCATACAGTACAGGAAAATACCTCTAAACATAAAGATATATTTCTACTTCTAAATTACCATTAAAATGCATGGAAAGATGACAAAATCAAAATATACTTACGTAAATACTTATTCGCATCATGGGTTTCAAAAATAAGTATAGACCATTCACCAAACATTCTAAGATTGTAGTGTTGAAGATGTCCTCAACTACTTTTTAGTATTGCTCCAAGCTTTCCTGGCATTGAGTGTACAAGTTCACAGCACAATGCCACGTCTATTCCTGGAGGATGACCTCCTTAAGTGCTGCTCAGCATTTCTCTTCAGAATCACCCACAGGTCCTCAATAGGGATGAGGACAGGTGACAAACATGGATGTGTATTTAAGGTCATTGACTTGCTTAAGAAACCAAAGGTGTGGTGAGAAGATAAACCTTCTCTTTCAAGATTTTGCAGCACGTCTGTGAATGATGCCATTGCAATGTCCCCCTCAACTTCAGCACTCATACATTCCCATATGGATAGAGTATGGTTTTCTCATCAATATTGGCCTTGGCAAAGGAAAAACAGCTTCCTTATTTATTTTATTTTATTTTGCTTCCATAATGGCTTCCTGCGTGGACAATAACAAAACAAAGGTCTGCCCAGAGCTATTGATACGTATGCTTAATTTATTCTGTACTCATTTTTGTAACATGGCGTAAGCCATGTAAGCCTTTTATGGCGTATATTTAGATAAATAATATATTGCTGTTTATTACAACATTGTATCATTTTTGAACCCTAAATATATAGGTTTAAAAGGGAGTATACTAATTTATGCTGTGTACTACTATATATATATATATATATATATATAAAGGTCTGGTAGTATTCAGAAACTGACTGTGTTTTTTTGCTTTTGCCTTTATACACCACTACAATGGATTTTAAATAAAACAAAAATGTGATTGAAGTGCAGACTTTTAGATTTATTTGAAGAGGTTCCACAAAATATGAAATTTACCATTTAGGAGTTACAGCCATTTTATGCAAACTATCTCCATTTTCAAGCGCTCAACAGTATTTGGACAGTTGACTAAGAAGAGGTTAATTGACCAGGTGCTGTCCATTCCCTCGCTACTTCAAGACAAATTAAGCAGATAAAAGATCTGGAGTTGATATGAGGTATCAAATTGGCATTTGAAAGCTGTTTGACTGGAGCTACCAATATGAAGTCCAAGGAGATCTCAATGAAAGTGAAGGAGGCCAACATTAAGCTGAAAAAACAACATAAATCTATAAGAGAGATAGCAAAAACCTCAGGTGTGGCCAGATCAAAGGTTGGTTACATTCTTAAGAAGAAAGAAAGCACTGGTGAGCTCAACAACATCAAAAGGCCTGGAAGACCAAGGAAAACAACTAAAGTGGATGATCACAGAATCCTTTCCTTGGTAAAGAAAAACCCATTCATAATATCAACAGAAATCAAGAATACTCTGGAGGAGGTAGGCACATCATTGTCAAAATCTACAATCAAGAGACGCCTTCATGAATGTAAATACAGAGGGTTTACAACAAGATGCAAACCACTGGTAACATTCAAGAACAGGAAAGCGAGATTAGACTTTGCCAGAAAACATCTACAAAAGCCTCCCATGTTCTGGAATAAGATTCTTTGTACTGATGAAACCAAGATGAACTTGTACCAAACTGATGGGAAGAGAAAAGTATGGCGAAAGACAGGAACAGCTCACGATCCAAAGCACACCACATCAAGTGTCAAACATGGTGACAGTGTTATGGCATGGGCATGTACGTATAGCAATGGAACAGGCTCACTGGTGTTTATGGATGATGTAACTGCTGACAGAAGTAGCAGGGTGAATTCTGAGGTCTTTAAGGCTATACACTCTGCTCGCATTCAACCAAATGCTACAAAACTGATAGGACGCAGCTTCACAGTGCAGATGGATAATAACCCTAAACATACTGCGAAAGCAACTCAGAGTATGGTTTTCTCATCAATATTGGCCTTGGCAAAGGAAAAACAGCTTCCTTATTTATTTTATTTTATTTTGCTTCCATAATGGCTTCCTGCGTGGACAATAACAAAACAAAGGTCTGCCCAGAGCTATTGATACGTATGCTTAATTTATTCTGTACTCATTTTTGTAACATGGCGTAAGCCATGTAAGCCTTTTATGGCGTATATTTAGATAAATAATATATTGCTGTTTATTACAACATTGTATCATTTTTGAACCCTAAATATATAGGTTTAAAAGGGAGTATACTAATTTATGCTGTGTACTACTATATATATATATATATATATATATAAAGGTCTGGTAGTATTCAGAAACTGACTGAGTTTTTTTGCTTTTGCCTTTATACACCACTACAATGGATTTTAAATAAAACAAAAATGTGATTGAAGTGCAGACTTTTAGATTTATTTGAAGAGGTTCCACAAAATATGAAATTTACCATTTAGGAGTTACAGCCATTTTATGCAAACTATCTCCATTTTCAAGCGCTCAACAGTATTTGGACAGTTGACTAAGAAGAGGTTAATTGACCAGGTGCTGTCCATTCCCTCGCTACTTCAAGACAAATTAAGCAGATAAAAGATCTGGAGTTGATATGAAGTTTAAAATTGGCATTTGAAAGCTGTTTGACTGGAGCTACCAATATGAAGTCCAAGGAGATCTCAATGAAAGTGAAGGAGGCCAACATTAAGCTGAAAAAACAACATAAATCTATAAGAGAGATAGCAAAAACCTTAGGTGTGGTCAGATCAACGTTTGGCTACATTCTTAAGAAGAAAGAAAGCACTGGTGAGCTCAACAACATCAAAAGGCCTGGAAGACCAAGGAAAACAACTAAAGTGGATGATCACAGAATCCTTTCCTTGGTAAAGAAAAACCCATTCATAATATCAACAGAAATCAAGAATACTCTGGAGGAGGTAGGCACATCATTGTCAAAATCTACAATCAAGAGACGCCTTCATGAATGTAAATACAGAGGGTTTACAACAAGGTGCAAAGCACTGGAAACATTCAAGAACAGGAAAGCAAAATTACTCTTGGCCAGAAAAAGTCTAAAAAAAAAAAGCCTATGTTCTGGAATAAGATTCTTTGGACTGATGAAACCAAGATTAACTTGTACCAAGCTGATGGGAAGAGAAAAATATGACGAAAGAAAGGAACAGCTCACAACCCAAAGCACACCACATCAAGTGTCAAACATGGTGGAGCAGTGTTATGGCATGGGCATATATGGCTGCCAATGGAACGGGCTCACTGGTGTTTATTGATGATGTAACCGCTGACAGAAGTAGCAAGATTAATTCTGAGGTCTTTAACATTACATGTATACTCTCTGCTCACATTCAGTCAAATGCTACAAAACTGATAGGATGCAGCTTCACATTGCAGATGGATAATGACCTTAAACATACTGCGAAAGCAACTCAAGACTTTTTGAAAGCAAAGAAATTGAATATTCTTCAATGGCCAAGTCAGTCGCTTGATCTCAATCCAGTAGAGCATGCTTTTCAGTTACTGAAGACAAGACTGAAGGCAGAAAGACCCACAAATAAGCAGCAACAAGTGAAGACCTGGCAAAGCATCTCCAGGGAGGAAACTCAGAATTTGGTGATGTCCATGGGCTCCAGACTACAGGCAGTCATTGACTGCAAAGGATTTTCATCCAAGTATTAAAATTGTGCTTATATTTACAATTATGTCACTTTGTCAAAATACTATTGAGCCCCTGAAAATGGGAGGTACTTTGCTTAAAATGGCTGTAACTCCTAAATGGTAAATGTCATTTTTGTGGAACCTCTTAAAATAAACCTAAAAGTCTGCAATCACATCTTGATTGTTTTATTTCAAATCCATTGTAGTGGTGTATAAAGGCAAAAGCACAAAAACTCAGTCAGTGTCAGAATACTTCCGGAATATATATATAAAATTATTGGCAGATACTTAGTGGTCCAAAAATTGGACTGGCAAAGCAAAAGCAATGTGTTCAATTCCTGGAAGGGGCTATCCCCTGAACCATTCATTATTAAATTGTCCTCATATAATTTACTATTGACTTTTCAGGAGATTTTACACTTAATAATCTGAAATATTTTAAATCAGCAATTCCTAGGCAATTCAATGTTTGCTTTTCGTTTCTCAGAACACAGTTCTGAGTGCCAAGCATTTCCTTCAAGCACAAGAACCTGGGAAGTGGAATATAAATTACACCAATCTCAACCTGCAACGGCCTGTTCCAAGGTTAGATACATTTTTTTCTTTTGTAGCTATGCAAAAGACAAAAAACAAAAATTGTAACATCAGCCAATGTGGTTCAGTGAGTGTGATGACATCTGATGATAGTTTACAGTCAAGCTAAAAAAAATAAAAATAAATAAGTGTTCTAAAACCGTATAATGGCTCCTCAAACGAATCAGTTGCATGGCCTCCGAAGACTTAGAGTACATAAGTTGTATGCACTACTTTCTGATGATTTTTGGCATGGATTTTCAGTTATGAACAATTCCTTGAAGTAAACAGCTGTTTCAATAGTATCATTTTTGTTAATTTTCATTATGCAAACGAGTATCTTGTTTGTTCATTTTTCATTATGCAGTGATGTCACTATCTCTCGCTCCTGTGTACCTAAACCCATTGAATGTCTTGCTGAGGAAGTTGGTCTTTTCTCGGATGAGGTTGAGCTCTATGGCAGGACCAAAGCCAAAGTCCAACTGAAAACGATTGATCGACTGCAGGCTCAACCTGATGGCAAATATGTGGTTGTTACTGGGTATTTTTTTTCCCTCCTTGTATCTCTTTTTCTGTCTCCATCAAGTGTTTCATTTCATATAGATGAAAAATAAATGAACACCTTGTAAGCTATTGATACTTGTGCTAAGAAGTAACATTTTGTTTAATGTAGAATCACTCCGACTCCTCTGGGTGAAGGAAAGAGTACAACTACAATAGGGTTGGTTCAAGCACTTGGGGCTCATCTGAAACTTAATGCGTTTGCATGTGTGCGCCAACCATCGCAAGGTCCAACATTTGGCATCAAAGGTAAGTAATGCTGATAAGACAATAGTAATACCATATATGATTGGTTACCTCTAAAGTGATGTTTTATCAAACAATGTGCAAAAAGGTTTGGTATATCAAGTTTTGTTTACTAAACTTTTGCAAAGGAAGTACAATTGTGATCTTTTTTTCTCTTTTTTTGTGTGTCAATTTTCATAGCAGTGAGAGCAACTACTGAAAATTAAGCTACTACCTTATCTCTTATATCTATAGGTGGTGCTGCTGGTGGGGGGTACTCGCAAGTTATTCCCATGGAAGAGGTATTCTTTTTGCATCAGATTCTTGTTTGATTAATTAAGCTGTATAAAAACATGTATTTAGTGATTGTCTTCTCTTCTCAGTTCAATCTTCATCTGACTGGTGACATTCATGCCATCACAGCAGCCAATAACCTGGTAGCTGCTGCAATTGATGCTCGTATGTTCCATGAAGCCACCCAGTCTGATAAGGTATTGTCTGTCTTCATTCATTTATTGGATCACTGATATCGCATTCTGATGTGATCAGGGATGAAATTTAGTTCAAAGATTATTAAGGCTGTCAGTTAATTAGCATATAATTAATTACAAAAAACATTAAAGGGGTCATATGATGCGATTTCAAGTTTTCCTTTCTCTTTGGAGTGTTACAAGCTCTTGGTGCATATAGAAGATCTGTAAAGTTGCAAAGACTAAAGTCTCAAATCCAAAGAGATATTCTTTATAAAAGTTAAGAGTCAGCCACACCTACCTAAAACGGCTCGTTCTAACACGCCCTCACATATCTACGTCAATATGTGGAAATATTAGCATAATGTGCACGCATAGAAAGAAGGCGTGGTTTCAGGAACAGCAGTAGTGTTGAGCAGCATGTCAGGGAGACGCTGTGTATTTCAGTGCGAAAGCAAAAGCACTTTATTTGGCCTTCCGGAAGTAGATGCAATTAGGAATCATTGGTTAAGATTTATTTACAACAGAACAGCACAACCCAGATGTTCGAATTTGTGCAACGCATTTTATAGACGACAGTTTTTTTAACCTAGAAGAGTACAAAGCTGGCTGCTCACAAAGGTTATTTCTAAAAAAAAAAAAAAGGGGTAAATTCCGACTTTGCTATGACAATCTGGCGCTTCTGAATCAGCGACTGTAAGCAGGGGCGATTCTAAGATTTTCGTTTTAGTGGGGCTCAGCCCCCAATGAGGGTATAATAATAAAAAAGGCTTATTCATTTCACTTTTGGTGTGAAGAGGCTTTTATATTTGCCAAAAATATAACTTTTTTATTTTAAAAACAAACAAGCAAGCCCTGTCCAGATTTAAAAAGTAATGCAAAAGTAACGTAACACATTACTTTCCATAAAAAGTAACTAAGTAACGTAATTAGTAACTTTTTTATGGAGTAACGCAATATTGTAATGCATTACTTTTAAAAGTAACTTTCCCCAACACTGGTCAGTATGCTGCAAAAGATAATATTCCTAATGAGTGTTTTTGCCTAATTTTGAGACATGATACATTTACTTTAGATACTGGATATGATGGTTAGTTTTCAGAGAATGTCTTTAATACTATTAAAATATTATCATACTAATAAATATATATATATATATATATATATATATATGAATTATTTCATTGGACTATATGCTTCTGTCCTCAGTTAAATGTATGTCCAGGTCAGTATTCAAAGTGTTGCCTTAAATGTTTTTAGTCCGTTATCAGACTCACTGTTTTGCAAAATGCAAACACAATGGCAAAATTCATTATCCCCATGTTTCTTTATCATGGACAGTCTTCTAAGCAGAGCTCTTATGTTTCTTTTATACAAGCCATTACATGTGCACCTTGTGTGGCGATTAAAGTGTTAAGATGGCTTAATGCTGAGAAGATGAGCAATTTAATTGTGCCCCTGCACCAGTGTAAATTATTATATTATCTGCATCACATTTTAAGAATTGCTTTCCTGCAGCGAAAGTCCATATCAACAGCTAAATATCATTCTATCACTGCACTAGGCTCTATTTAATCGGTTGGTACCCATGACTGGAGGTCAGAGGAAGTTTTCCCCAGTTCAGATCAACAGGCTTGAAGTAAGAATAATGTTTGTTTATTTGTTTTTGTAATTTTATATCCTCCTCTCTAAGATTTACATTAGTTTTGCTCTTGCATTGTCATGCTTTCTGTAGTTTTATATTTTTGATGTTCCTTGTACTGACAGAAACAAGGTATAAAGAAAACTGACCCCAGCACGTTAACAGAAGAGGAAATCACTCGCTTCGTCAGGCTGGATATTGACCCTGAGTCCATAACTTGGCAGCGCGGTATGATAGAATGTGTATTGTTGTTTTCATTGTTCTTATACTATAGAGATGAATGATCTGAAATTTAAAATTAAATGAAAGCGGAGTGCATCTTTAATACTAGATAATTTGTGTAGATTGCTATTCGTTCTGATGTTACTGAAAATTACACATTTGTACAGTATATACACATTTGGATGAAATGTAAATCTTCTTTCTTTTTTTTTTTTTTTATAGTGCTGGACACAAATGATCGTTTTTTGAGAAAAATCACGATTGGCCAATCTCCAACTGAGAAGGGATTCACCAGAACTGTGAGCATCACACATATTACCACATATTACTAAATGCTTTACATACTGATGAATAAGTAGACTCGAGACTTGATTATTTAATTTTATAAAGCCTGTCCAAAAATAAACTGCATAACATTTATAATGCCAAAGATGGTTGTAGCTTCTAATAGGCAAATGATTCAGGCCATTAAAACAGCTTTTTTTGTTGTTGTTAGGAGTAAAGTATTTTATGCACAAACATTGTTCAAATATTGTTTGTTCAAACGTTATGTTTGTCTAGCCAGACGCAGCACTCATGCCACAAGACACCGCAATGGCCAAAGATGTCCACCTGATTAACATATGCAGCAGAAGAAATATGTTTTTGTGTTCTTGTTCAAAGAACTTATTAACTTTTTAATAGCTCAGGAGTTACAAGTTAACATTTCTTTCTTTCTCATATGAGCCATGGGAAAGTGTCTTGTCTTTCTGCAGTATCTGTATCAGATGTTATCAGCCTGTTATCATTGAACTGTCAGGAATCTTTTACCTTGCTAATCAATGTTCCTTGAGGGTATAAATAAAACTGACTTGACAGTTGAAACGGACAAAACATTGCATATTCAATCAGTTGTAATGACAAGGAAACCAAAGCATTTGATCTTATTCTGTTAGCAGGCAATGGCCCCACACTTGCTTTTACTTTTCATTGCTTTTTAATAGGGCATGTGCTAATAGAATTAATTCAGTGAATTTTGTCTCTGACCTGTATGTTCATTTCATAAGGAATTTTTCTACAGTCAGAACAAATCAAAAATCTTAAAGGGTACCTATTATGCAAACTTCACTTTTGCATGTTGTTTGAACTATAAATGTGTGTTGGCAGTGTGTGTACACAACCACCCTATAATGCTAAAAATCCACCCGCTCCTTTTTTTAAATCTGTATAAATCATGAGCAGTTTCTCAGAGCTTACTGATCACAGATTCCGTAAAGTGTGACATCACACTTTACCAGCCCCACCCACGATAGTTGACTGACACAGCCGTATTAGCCGTGACCGTGAGTGAGCCGCACACACACTACCTGCCATGTTAATCTGGAGAGGATGTGGGTGCTTGAAATGGCTAATCCTCCCAAAGTCTTTGTTGTTGTTTTTTTTACAGGCAAACCAAAAAGAGTTAATTCATTATGATGAGGTTTGTAAAATGCTGGAGGTCACATGGGGAGGAGAGAATGATGCAACACTGTGAAAATCAGGAGAGCATAAGGTTACAATTTTGGAAGGAAATACATGATTTGTTTCAGTAACAAGTCACAAACGAGAATCAGAATCAGTCATTGACTTAGTAAAGTAGTCCGAATGCCTGGTGAAATCTCGTAATGGTTTCATATTCAATCATTTTGCAAGTACTAATTGACTTGGTTTGGTTGTAATATGGGCCTAGACTAGTGGTAAATGTCTACATTTACCAATAGTCTAGGCCCATATTACAACAAATTGATTAATTGTCAGAATATGAATAATTACTGTTTTCATGGAGTTTTACCTTTCATATTATCATCATAAGATTACATTAAATATGGGTTCACTTGCATTGTGGATAAAAATGGTTTGTGACAACAACAATGTGTTTTAGGAAGTGGATTTTCATCTGCCAAGAGCATGAAACAATTGAAATTAAAAATGTATGAATAAACCAAAATTCTGAATTGACAGCCTTATGTTAATAATTTTCATATTGTTGGACTTAATGGTAGTATTTATTATAAATAATTAATTATATAAATATAATAATTTAATTTAGTAATTTATACTGAATTGCATTTATAAAATTGATTTATGTTATAGTTATATAATCTTGCTTTTTTTGATGTATTATTGTATAATAAAGAATGTTTATGTCCAATAAAATATGGGTCCTGAAACAAAAGCAGTTGAAAATCAGAGACCTAATTTTTAGCACCACAAAATTGATAATAAATGAGAAAGTTACAGGGAAAATCTTTAGACTGTATAATAGACTATACGTGTAAAATATCATCAAACTGCTTTGAAAACATCTTACAATGAATGATGCCTTTAATTGTTACTAGACCTGATTGCAGAATTACTTGTGCACAATGCCTTTTCATTAGATCCGTGAACTGGTGCCAGAGTCCCAGGCGTACATGGACCTCCTGGCTTTTGAGCGCAAACTTGACCAAACCATTATGAGGAAGAGAGTGGATATACAAGAAGCCCTCAAAAGACCAATGAAGGTATGTGATTGCAGTTAGAGTACACATTTCAGTGAGATATAGTTAGCATAGTTAGCAATAATATGGAAAATGTGGGTACAGCTCAAACTGTCTCTTCTCTTAAAGCAAAAGCGGAAACTACGATTGTACATTTCAAACACTTTCAACCCTGCCAAACCTGACGCAGAGGACTCTGAGGGCAGCATTGCATCCTGGGAGCTGCGTGTAGAGGGCAAGTTGTTGGATGATGTAAGTTTGACTTAAAGAGTACCTATTATGCAAAATTCACTTTTAGATGTTGTTTTAACATAAATGTGTGTTGGCAGTGTGTGTACACAACCACCCTATAATGCTAAAAATCCACCCGCTCCTTTTTTTAAATCTGTGAGCAGTTTCAGCAGTTTCTCAGAGCTTACTGATCACAGATTCCGTAAAGTGTGACATCACACTTTACCAACGATAGTTGCGATAGTTGACTGACACAGCCGTATTAGCCGTGACCCCGCCCTGAGTGAGCCGCCCAGAGCAGTGAGTGATTTTCTGCTTTTATTTTATTGTTTGGGTCATATTAACAGCGTAGACCCAAACAGCAGTCAGTATAAGTACTGTATATTATGCTGCTGTCACTTAATACACCGATCTAATATAGACATTCGATTTCTTTCCCAGCTGTTTAACTTCACAGACATTAACGGACTGTGTTTTTGTAACTTAAGTGTGTTTTTAACAAACTTATGTGTGAAAAGAGAACTTTTAGTACTCGCATGCGTGTGACAGCCGCTCTCTGTTTGCGTGCTTCGGATGTGTGCGTCCAGAAAAACGTATATCAGAAAATCTTCGGTATGGGTCTTTCAGTTCGGTACGCATGTGTACCGAACAAAACGTCCCTTTTTTTTTTTTTTTTTTTTTTTACGGCAAAAAAGCGATTTAGGACGATAATTATCATTTCATAATCATGATCATTTATTTGAGTAAAGTGCTTGGGATAGATATTGAGTATCATTTGCGAACTGAGTTTCCAGACCATGTTAAACAAGCTGCTGTATAGCTCATGTGCCATTCAAACTGAATCTTGCCATCTCATGTATGCAGGACAGACACAAAGGCTGAACTGGATCTGATCTGTAAACTAGCCAAAGAGGCAGGAGCGTTTGATGCGGTGCATTGTTCTCACTGGGCTGATGGAGGCGCTGGTGCTGCAGATCTGGCTAGAGCAGTGCAAAAAGCAGCAGACTTACCCAACAGCTTCAAATTTCTTTATGACATTGAGGTAAAAAAAAAAAAAAGAATGTTAGTGGTGTTGTATTATCATTTCTATAATAAATGTATCGGTTTTAATTTGCAGGGCGGTATGTGTTACACACAATATTAGAGGGTTTACTCTGCAGTCATATTTTACAGATGTACACATTCATACAGTTTGCTAATTCATTTCTGTTTCAGTTACCTATTCTTCAGTTACCTATTACCTATCTTACAGTTACCTATTGTAGACAAGATCAGAATCATTGCGCAGAAGATCTATGGTGCAGATGACATTGAACTTCTTCCAGAGGCCCAACACAAGGTGGACCTGTACAGCAAACAGGTATGAATAGCGCATTGATTGTCGCCTGTAAAGTAAAGCAGCATGGACCAATTTTACAGACTTCTATGACTCATTTCCACAATTATTAACATTGTATTTTTTTTTGTGTGTGTGGTTTCCATTTACCACTGTTGGAAGTTTCTCCCCTTCTGAAACCCTGCAAATGTGAAAAGGATCCATTATACTTGAAAACAAACAAGAAGGTAGCTAGCCGCGCACTGAATCCAATACAGACTGGAAAAGTCTAGCAAAACTTTTTTATATTTTAAAAAATTGCATCATGCAGAGTGCATGTGAATTAAAAACAAGTGGACACGAGCAAGCAGACATTTACGCACGTTGCTATCTTCAGTGCTCGCTTTACAATAAACATTCACCCTTTTTCTAGTTAGATTAACAATTAAGGGCAATCAGCTGAATTCAGTTATCACAAGTAGACCTCAGTTATCACAAGCAGAACTCCAAGAGAGTCTGGTCATTAACATGTATGACACCGAATATTACAAGTATACAGCTAAAATAGATGAAATAACAGAAAAATAGAATTCTATGTTATTTCATCTGTTGTAGCTGTATACTTGTAATATTCTGAAAATAGCAATCTGCTGAAACGTCTGCTTGCTCGTGTCCACTTGTTGTTAACTCCCATGCACACTGCACTTTCTGCACAATGCAATTTATAAAATAAAAAATGTTTTGCTAGACTTTTTCAGTCTGTATTGGATTCGTTGTGCGGCTAGCTACCTTCTTGTTCATTTTCAAGTATTCCCTTGACTCTGTGCACCTGCAGTAAAAGGATTGCTTTTTTCCTATTTGAAGCACTACAATTTTTCTTTAGTTTTTAAGGATCCATTATACCCCATTTTGTACTCCCATCATGGCTGAAAAACAGGGGTTGGATAGTGGATGTAGGACTGGGGGGTGTATTTGTGTCTCATTACAGATCCTTAAACATAAGGTTGCCATTATGTTTATAAAGTTTTTTTTGTCTCCCTCAAGGGTTTTGCAAGTCTACCCATATGTATGGCAAAAACTCATCTGTCTCTGTCACATGATGCTGAAAAGAAAGGTGTGCCTACTGGATTTGTTCTTCCAATTCGTGACATTCGTGCCAGTGTAGGGGCAGGCTTTCTCTACCCACTGGTTGGCACAGTAAGTAGCGTAATATGAACATTCACGTTTTTACATAGTAAGTATACTGCTATTTCTTTTATTTTAAAATAATTGGAAAAAATAACACAAAAGGATTTTCCTGATTGTTGAAATAACTTGTATTCATTCATTCATTCATTCCAGAAAGAATCAGCAGTTATGTAAAAAAAAAAAAAAAAAAAAAAAAAAAAAAAGAGTAGTAATTGTGATTGGTACCATGTAAAATAAATGTTCTTACTTTCATTATTATTTATTTATTTTTGCAGATGCCGACTATTCCTGGCCTTCCCACTCGTCCATGTTTCTATGACATAGATCTTGACACTGAGAGTGGAGAGGTTCATGGACTTTTTTAATTTTTGGGGGGTATGTATTAATCTGTTATTTAAATGTAATGCATTGTGCCTGTATCTTTTACATCATTTAAGACAGCTGTAATTAATTATTTTCTCGTTTAAGATTACAGTTTGTGGCAGTCCACAAGGAATTCCTTCCCCTGGATTAAAGACCTCGGTCTTCCTCTCAGATCAGAGGTTATTTCTAACAGGACAGATGTGCTGTCATAACTTTTGATATATTCTGATCTATAACATTTGTCTATTTTCCTAATGAAAATTTCTAAGAAATATTTTTATTAAACTACACTACCCTACACTACTACACTGAGCAAAAAAAAATAAATAATAAATGAAATTGTCCATTACATGATCTAATCCAAATATTTTTGTAAGCAGTTTTTTTTTTTCAATTAATTGTCATTTCTGAACTAATTTTGTAGATTAATAATTGTGATATTTCTGTTAATAACGGTTTTCAATCTATAGGGTAGCTATCTATCAACATTTTTTTCACTTAAGTGCCAAACGAGAGTAAAAACTGACTTTGAGTGAATAAGTGTAAATACAACTTAAGTCTATACTAACATTTGTCAGATACATATTTTTGATTCTGTTTGAATGCATTTACCTTGTGAATACAAAATTCAAATAAATTGTAACTGAGCTTCAGATACAGTCTACTTGATCTGTGTTTGTAATGCCAGTTTCTGGTTTGGGACGTTTTTCTTGCATGAAAAATCTGAGAAGAAATAGATTTACAAAAAGTCTCCAGTTACTTTCTATTTAGTCTCATTACTATCTAGTAGAAACATTCAAGGAAGAGATTTCATACCTTTTTTTTAATTTTTTTATTTTTCACTTTAGTACTTCTAGTTACCTAAATTAAGTGCTAAGATTTTTATTTATTTATTTTATTTAGTCATTTAGCAGACGCTTTTATCCAAAGCGACTTACAAATGAGGACAATAAAAGCAGTCAAAACTAACAAAAGAGCAACAATATATAAGTGCAAATGACAAGTCTCAGTTAGCCTAACACAGTACACGTAGCAAGGTGTATATACATATACACACATACACATATACATATATATACATATATACATACATATATATATACATATACACACATATATATATATATACATATATACATACATACATA